TTGTTAAGGAAAAATATATTGACAATTTAGAAAAAAATCATCGTCATGAAATTAATCAAGAAATAATAAAACAACGTGAATTAAAACGTCAACTTGAAATGCGTTCACAAAAATATAATGATTTATTACTTAAATTTGAAGATAAAACACGACAAATTGATACAATGCATATATATGTACAACGTGGTGGTAAACGTCCATCAGATTCACCAACAAATTTATCTAAATCACGTTCATTACAATCACTTCAAGAAACATCATCACATTCACGAGACAAAATAAATGATTATGATAAAAAACGACGTGAACAACAAGAACGAGAAAAAAAATCAAAATCACAACAACGATCTTCTTCAAATGATTCTTCACCAAAACATGAAAAGAAAAAAATTCCACCAAAAAAATTATTACAAAATACAACAACAACTACTAAAAATTCATCAAATGATGAAAAATTCTCAACAACACAAAATGGTAACATTTACTCATATATATATATTCTAATAATTACATATACAAAGGATTTGATCATCAGAATTTAGAATAAGTTTTTAGTTTTATTCAATTGAAAATAACGGAAAGTATAGGAAAGTCTTATTTGCTATTTAGTATTAATATTCGACTGATCAAATGTTAAATATTTAACTTCAATTTTCAAAATATACACATTTTGTATTTTTATTGTTATATTTTATTTAATCAAAATAAGGACACAAAATCTTGCATATTTTTAAAAATCGCAGCAGCACTTTATTCGTGTTATAAACAATTAGTCGCCTTACATAGTAGATCTATAATAACAGACACTTCTATTTCCTGTAAATAATTATAAAGATATTAGATGATATTAACATAATGAATGTTGGTAAAAATGAAAAGTAGAACGTAATTATCAGAAAAATTTTATTTCGTTTTATTTTTATGTTAACACTTTTATTATGTTGAAAATATTTTAGTTTGAAAACGAATTTCTTTTTTTTGGTGAAGGAATTTTTAAACGTTAAACGTACTGATTAAAACTGCCTTTTTGAAATGTTTTTTTTTTCTATAATAGGTCATTTGCCACCCAAAGGAAAACCTCCTACGCGTCGTCTCTCAACACCAAAGAGCGTTGACGAAGATAAAACTGAAATGGATAATGAAGATTTTTTTGGATCAAAGCCTAAAAAATTACCACCGCCAACAAATATTCAGCGAAGCGAACAACATTTATCTCACACACAACTTCATAAACGTCCAATAGCACCTATTCCATCAACAACTGAATCAAAATATAATTCATCAGGAACTGGTGGAAATACATCATCTTCAATTTTTAAACTTACTGAACCATCAGTACCAACAAAATCTCGTACAACACGTCCACTCGATGAAAAATGGTCGGATATGTTTGGAAGCAATGAAAAAGAAGATTCAGCGAAAGAAGATCTTCTTGCTAAATTAGTTGCTGATGAACAACAAGAACGAAGATTAGCTGCTGCTGCTCAATCATCATCTACGCAACGTCCATCAATGAATATGTTCGAATCATCAACACGTTCGACAGCAACAAGTAAATTTTGTTTTTAGTAATATTGTTCTTTATTGACATAAATATAAATTTTGTATAGCACAACCAACAACAACAACAGCAATGAAACCATCTGCTGATCCATTTGAATCATTGTTTAGTACTAGTTCAAATAAACCAACAGCAAATCGTAAAAATGATCCAGATGATATATTTTCAACAAAATCATCAAATCAACCAACAACAACACAAACTAAAGATGATACATTTGAATCACTATTTGGACCATCGTCTACAGCTAATAATTCAACAACAGTTAATCCAAATTCAAAACAATATACAACACAAAATGACAAATTACAAAGACCAAAAATTGTTACAAATGCAACAAGATCAATACCAAATAGGACAGTCGTTGATGAAGTGGAGGAGTTTGTTTTATAAACAAATATATTCGCTTAAATCTGTTTGTCTTATATATTAATTTTTTTTCTGAACGTACTATCGAACAACAAATGAACAATATATGAGTGTGCTGTAAGCATGTTGTGAGTATATTCTTTTAATTTCAAATAGTTTTCTGTGTTAAACATGCTCAGAATTCAGTAATAATTCACTAAGAAAACAACTGCTGATTAATAACAGAAGAAGATAAAAAAAAGCAATTTTGAATATTAAAATCTATGATTGAAGAGCAACGCAAATGTCACAAAATTAATTGTCAATTAATTGAAGAAATGTGTCATTTAATTTTTTTTCCAACCATATATAGCAAAGGCGAGAATGAGCATGAAAATTTTAAATTGAATTGTATTTGATTCTGATTGAATTCAACATATGATCTTATTTATTTTTAGTGTTTTTATTTCCCAGTCGATAAAGCTCGCCGAGCTTGTCACAATGCTATTAGGGGTTTTCTCCCGCACTTCTTTATTATCGAGTTTTCAAATCGAATTAACCATATTGAGCAGTATCTATTGATATAGGTCAAGCACGTTTATTTTGAAAAAGTTCAAGAGACGCAAATCTTTTTATTTGTGAAAATGATTGTTGTTGAAAAAATGTTGGGGAAAACAAAATATGTTGATAATGAGACAGCAAATAAATGGATAATCATGACAGCTGTGCATTGAATGTCGGTCTATCTTGAAAGTAAACTGAATCTCGATCACATTCGGAAAAGATTGATATATTGGTTGAATATAGCCACAGACTGATCAAGAGTATGAAATCATCGACACGAAAATATCTGAGTAAAATTAATTGTGAACCAGTAATTGCAGCTTGATTATAGCGCCGCGAGTTCTTAAGTCAAGATGATTCAGATTATCTATTGATACACGATGATCAATTCGACATGCCTAGTTTTCCATTGATGAAAGAAATACTAATCACAAGGTTGTTATGGGCAGCACTGATGAGAAGCATTATGGTATATGAATGTGTGGTAGGTATACAGTAATTTGACAACAACGAATGTCGATCTTTCATTCGCAAAAGATAATGTGTGATGTTATGCGAGTTCATAATGGAAACCAGATTAAACACCAGTTTAATCGAGATTCTCAACCTTCGCTTGAGTTAATGTTCATCGTCAAATGTTTGTATCATGAACGGGCAAGCTTTCGCTTCGCACCTATTTCAGTTTTTCAACAAAGAGCAGTTTGATGCGTGATAGTTTCTCTTGACTGTTTCCATCATTCTCAACATATTCTCGACATTGTACTCGTTGCATCGGACACTTGACAAGTAAAGATGCACATTATATTGTGATGAAAACGATATCGGGACTTGAAAAATCTACGACTTTTCTAATGTAGTCCAATGTAAAAAAGAAGTTTGTTAGAAAATCAAGTCCTGCCCATGTTCTTGAAGCATAAAGTCGATATCGATATCGTTTACAAGTTCTAAAGTACTATTGCTTTCGATTTCATAGCTGTCACTTGTTAAAATGTCGTTCAAAAAAGTCAGCAGATAGTCAGTCGTCGACGTTTCTTCTCAAGTCAAGTTAGTTATCTAAGCTTTTTTTTTGATAATATTCCATCAAGTACATATTGAGCGATATTTGCCATATTTAGCATGTTAGACTTGTCCTTAATTCGTTTTCTTCTCAAAGTGAATATTGTCCAACAATATAGTAAGAAATAGTGATAGTATTGAATTTTACCTCTGTTCTTCTCTTTTTCCACGTGCAATCACTGACAGAAAACAAAGTTTCAATAGTCAAACAGTCTATGAAAAGAAAGGTCTGAAATTAAAATGGGCCGTTTTGTAAGTTCATCGCATAACAATCCATGTGGTACGTGTAGACATCAATCAGTGCGGTTGATGCCTCTATGCGATGTTTCATAGGACGAATACGATCTGAAAACTATATAAGAAAGTACGTAGTATGGTGAAAAACTTTTATCATAATCTTGACCAGCTCGTCAAACTCTATCAACTGCGGTAACTCTCATTTGGGTCTGCGATTAACACTTGAAAATGTTTTCTCGTAAGGCTTGAACCTAAACCAGAAAATTTTTCACCGAAGCCAAAAACTAGTGATATCGTACATGCTTACGTACGATATACTTGTAGAAGAGAATCCGAAACTTGGATTTTCAGTTGAAAGCATCCACTCTTTGTTTAATAATTTCTCTTAAAAATATCATCGTTCGATAAAGAATGCAATTCGGCGTCAATCACAACTAATTAGAGAGTCGCCATTAGTCTAAAAGCGAATGTAAGTAAGAAATGCTAGAATTCGCTGCTAAGTTTCCCTACTTCTATTGGTACATACATAGATTTAGTTTTATGCATTATTTTATTTCATAGATTACGATCTGTTTTTTTTTGTTACTATTTCTACCTAGTATTGTTTTTCTTTGTCATAAATAGAAACCTATGATCACAAGTAATGTCTCTAGAGTTAATAACGAACGTACTTAATGAAAAAGGTAGAAAATTCCAAAGTTATAGGCAAATTATATTAAATCGCATTATGACCAATCAACCATTTACTCTTGAATCACTATTATTCAAATCTTCTATCAAACCGAACTGTAAATAGTTACTTAATAATAGGTACATATGATTTAATTATATAATTTATATTTTTTTTTAAATGTTAGACCTTATTGTCTATATAAATAGCAATCTAGTCGTTCTAGAAGAGTTTTTGCTGGCAATCCTTTATCTATCAATGCAAAATAAACTTGAAAATGAATGTCTCTCAATAAATGCTTTTTATTATTAAAAAAAGTTTTTTTTTTTTCATTATTTTTTTAAAAAAATTTCAATAAAATAAGTAACATTCAAGGATGTATGTTTTCATACTATTGATGTTGACGTTATTTCATTCTAGCGTAGGCTTATATACAAAAATAAACGAAAAAAAAAACAGTTGTATCCAAGAAAATATAAGAAATGATTGTTAAATGAAAGACAATTGAAATTTAAAAAATCGAAAAGAAAAATATTTTATTTTGATTTATCATCGATTCTCTTTTCAAAAAAAAACCAATGCCGATGTTTCGTCTGGATGCTGTTTTGGAAAAGCGGGACCAAATATATTTGTCTATAAATATAAATAATAACAACAAATAAAAATATATGAAAGATAAATTTTAACAATATACTTTATGTCGACGATAGGCTATTAAAGCAATTGCATAAAGAAATAACACAATACCAATACCAAGTATAATATATTTCATAACATGAAGTGCTGTTATTGGTCTAGTTACTTTTCTATAAAATTTATCAGCATTGGATTTATCGATTTCTGCATGCTAAAATAATAATAAAAATATTTTTCATACTTTAACATATTGTTTATTTTCGTACTCACTTCATCAACCCATATCATAGGATAAATAACGGGATTTAGACGACATATAGCCCTGAAATATTGCGATTATTATTTTAATCAAAGACAAATATTCATATATACTGTATGGCTGAATCATTAATAACATTTAGATTGATTTGTAGTCGTCGAGATCCACTCATAACAACTAATATATTCGAAGAAAAAAAGATATCATAGTTTTTTATTCATTTAAACTATGGAACACGTACTGCCAGTAAGTGGTTCTATATCCATAAAACTACGATGTTTTATGTCATCAGGTGTTAGTCCACTAACACCATTTTGTACTGAAGAATCAGCTGCAAGAAAATGTGGATTTGACCCAATGATAGGTAATGGTATATGTGGTAAACTTTCACCAACTAAATAGAAAATAATAATATACATAATAAGTATTTTTAGTGAGAATGAATTAACTGACAACGAATACATGTTTTTAATGAAAATAGGCCACTTGGTAAACATTCCAATTCATGTGTTTTATTATGAATTGTAGAATTCAAACAAAAACCTTCATTTTCTGTTGAATTCGCAAATACACTATTTGGCATTGTATAACGATAATTTTTAATATTAAATTTATTAGTATGTGATTCACTAAAATTAAGATAAACCGATCGACAAATATCAGATATAAATGCATAAATTCGTTCAGTGTCTTTTGTATATGGATGCCATATTGTACCATCTGTTCCATTAATCATATTCGCATATTCATTCGACCAAAATGATAAACTTCTTTCAAAATTGAACCGTTCAATTTTGCCCAAATTATTAATACGTTCAGTATGATCTGTATCAAAACCAACACCATTATTAATTAAAAATGTATTCAATCCCGTTTCACGTATCTAGATTAAATGACCTCCTTTTAAGACATATAGTTGAAACTTATCACATGATCAAAAATAAATGATGTAATATTAACAAAACAAATTTCGTTATTTTTTATCATTCGATGTTATCTATACGTCCTAACACAACACAAGTGCTTTTGATAACGTTTTTCTTCATAACTTGACTTTGTATTTATATAGTTTTATGTTCTCTTGCTGCATTAAAGAATATGATTGCTTAATAGGACTATCCAAAAGAAAACAACATTTCAATATCTCACTTATAGTGCTAGTGCTAGAAGACATGTCTAAGTTTAGTTTCCCATCGAAAACCTGCATAGACAGTACATGAAATAAGCTGATACAGTTTTAAAGTTTTCACAACTAGCCAGTTTGAATACAATATGTTTGATTTTTCTAGAATTATCACATTATTGTTTATGAACGAAGACAAAGAGATCTAAATAATTAGAGACTAATAATAATGATAAACATTGAAAAAAAAACTAGAAGAAGAACTCTATAATATACTAGTTTTTGAAAATCGAAAACAAAGTTCATCGTGTATTAAACTTGAAAGTACTGCTTTATAGAAATATTTAAGAGGTTTGAATGTATGGATAGAAATCGGGATGTGTCCTGTATCATCAATAGGAAAAAAACTCAGTTCATTTGATGGAACTATTTAATTTTCTTGTTGTATTGTAGCTTTTCGAACATCTTGCATAATTCTAGGAATTTATAGTCTAAAAATGTGTGCAATATCTTCCTATACATCCTGTATTCATTGCTCATGGAAACTGATCTGATGAATGAAAATAAGAATAAATGTATATATTATTACCGCAGCATTATAAACTGACACTTCATCATCAGTAATAATATCGGGAAATTCACTTTTAAGCACATGCAATAATGGATCTTGATATCCCCAAATGTATTCTTTTACAGAAAGTTTCATAATTGGTTTTTCTTGACCAGATAATAAGCCTCCAACTATAATTCGAAATGACCGAGAAACATCTTCCATTTGAAGATAATTCACTAATGTCTATGAAAGACTATATTAACAAGATGTTAAATAAATAATATCATATTTTACCATATAGACCAGATTTATTGTAGTAATATTTACTGTTTCACTTTCAGCTGATCGTGATGGATCAAATGTATATGAGCGTTGTTCTCGATATGAAATTGTTTCATTTTCATATATTCTTATATCTGTCTTATTTCTTTGTTCTCTTTATAGAAAAATTTAAAAAAACAAAATCGTTACCTGAATTTCCTAATGAATAGTATTTGTGATAAGACTCACCTGTAGACAAATGGTCCACGTTGTTTAAGCTGTGGTTTTGATGTACCATTAAGAAATTCTGTATCATTAAGATCAAATACGTAAAATGATATATATAATGGTACAGGAGAATCATGCCAACTATCGTAAGCCATTGTTCCTGGTTTCAATTGGCATTCCTTTTCAATTCAAAAGAAAAACATAGAAACGATCAAATAAAATTTAAAATAAAGAAAAAAAACATTATTATATACATTTTTAACAATTTTTTTGATAAGTGAATCACCAAGAACTATTAATAGAACACCAGCAGCCATAAATCCAATACTTATTACTATCAATATAATTGATGCACAATGTGTACGATCAACCATTGTGTATTGACAATAAAAGGTATTAATCTACAAGTGCAATTCATTCGATGATAAATAAATGAAATGAATTACCAAAGAAGAAAAAATAAAAAGAGACAGCAAAGAAACACACAATCGTATTTAAAAAAAAGAAAAAAAAATTGCACTAGCAGAAAAGTTCACAAAGAAAAAAAATCGGATATGACTAATTGGAATTATTGTTTTAAATAGATGCTAAAATCATAATCATTCTTTCTTTCATTCTTTTCTTTTTTTATCGAAGACAAATTTGATTTAATCGTTGTACACAACGTTCAATACCTTGTTCTTCATAATCACGTCGAGATATCCATTGAGATGGTGCATCTTTAACTAAATTAGCATAAACAGCACCACCTAAAAAGACCATATTTTTTCGACGTGGTGGTGCTTCAATACAAATAACATTTTTTGCTGATTTATCTGATTTTCCTTTTAGAATTCGTTCTTCATAAAGTTTTTCTAATTCACGTTCAAGACGAGTACCAAATCCTGGATACATTGTTGTACCACCACTAAGTACAATTTGTTTATAAAGTTTACGTCGATCATCCATAGGTGCACTATTAATTACTTTAAATACTTGTTCAGCAACACCTTTTACATCTAAACCTAATAATGATGGACGAAAAAGAACTTCAGGTGCTTCAAATCTTTCACCAGATAATTTTATTGTTCGACCATCAGGTAATGTATAACTTTCAACCAAAACTGTTGTATCTAATGCTAATTTTCGTTCTTGTTCAACGTCATCTGCTACATAACAAAGTTTCTCTTTTATTTGTTGAACTGTATCAAAATCAGCCGATTGATTGAATACATACTAAAATTAAATCAAAAAATAGATTATTTAATAATAGACTTTCTAAAGAACTTCATTTAATATTCTTAATATATATGATACTTGTAAAAATAATGAATACCTATGGTTGATTTTGTTTTGAATTATACAAGATGTTCTACAAATAAGTAGATAATTATCGTTATCTATTACAATAAAAATCAAGATAAACATGTGTATCTGTAGTTTTGATGCGTACCCAAAAGTTATTCTTGACTACTTTCATATTTAATTGTAAAACATCTTGTATAAGTAACAGACAAAGTAACAATGAATGTCGATAGTTTTTCGTTTTTTTTTCCGATAATATTATTATTAGAAAACTAACTTCACAGTTTAAGTAATTTACAAAAATCTAATTCATTCCTATTCCAATAGAAAAACATATTTTCTTGATAAAAAATTGTTAACAAAGAATGGATATCTCAGTATTTCGTATATTCTTCGTTTGATTCTCAACAAATTTGTAGTTTTTACTTAAACAAAACAGCATACTTTATTTGTTTAGTCTCAATCAAACAAATAGACTCAGAATGCGTCACTTTCCGAATTTTTTATATTTTATCAAGTTCCATTAGAAACTAGCTCTACTAATGTCTTAAGAAATCGGTACAATTGTTTTGAAGCTTTTGATGCATATGGTTATCTTTAGTATTCTTTCGCTGTATGTGCGAGATCCATTTATTTATGAGCCATCTATTAATAGTCAGTATTTTATGTACCCCACGAAGTAGTAATAAACGAATTAAATATCTTGTTATATCACGTCCGGCAATATTAAGTCGTGCTATTGAATTTTGTAAACAAAATCCATCAATAACAGGGCAAATATGTGTAACACCATCACCAATATCAACAACAACACCAGTTAAAATTCCTTGAGCATATAATGTTAATATAGCTTGATATGCTAATGAACATTCATGAAATTGAAATTGATCAAGCATAACTTCTAACATTTTAGCACGATTGTTGACTGGATTAAGTGGTGCTTCTGTTAATAAAATTTTTGCATCTTGTGGATTAATATTCATTTTTGATGGACCAAATAAATATGTATAAACATGTTTCATATCTTCCCAATTATTAACAATACCATTTTCAACTGGATAATTTATTTCAAGCATTTGTCGAACTTTTTGTGCTAGAAACAAATCAAGATAGAAGTTTAGAAAAAAAAAAAGAACAAAGATTTTTCTCTTTTCAATTTAAATACCTTCATCACCAACCATTATATCTTGAACTTCAATATTGTTTACTTTAGCACGGGAACGAATTAATGGTCGACCAACCATACATGGAAAATGAAAATCAGGAAAATTTGATGTACAATAACCACATTTTATATACTAAAAAAACAGAAAAATGGCATATTGAAAAAAGCTGTTCGATCTAAAATAATAAAATACTTACGCCAGTACCATTATCGCATACAACAACTTTTCTACCTGCAGAATCCATTCTCAAAATGATTAAAACACAAAAAGAAGAGATATGAAAGAAGAAGAATCACGAATCAACATTTATCTAATGGTATATGTGGTCAACCAATTATATATACATTGTAGATCATGTCGCTCGTATACATACATCCATATTATAGAACGAAAGAACAAGACACAAATGGACTTAACTTTTTCTTTGCATTCTTTTTATTTGTGTTTTTCGAAAATCAATAATATTATTAACATGAGATTCGTATTATCATGCTTCTTTTTTTTTTTTTTTTTTTTTTTTTTTTAAAGCATAATATAAAAAAAAAACAACGAAATGCTCTAAAGGCAACATAAAAAAGTTTTTTTTATCAACATCATTCACTCTTTTTTTTTTATCTTTTACAACATAGGATTTCATGAAATACGCAATTGAAACAAGTTTTGTAGTAATTTTTATTATAACGATTGCTGTTAATTCGACTTTAGTACCAGAAAGTATTAATGAATATCCTAAAAAGCCAATATGGTCAAATTATTTAGCAGATCCATTTGCATTTGAATTCAATGGAACATATTATATGATTGGTACAGGTCTTGGTTTGAGTGGAAATAATGCTACGTTTCCATCACTTAGATCTGATGATCTTATAACATGGAATTATTCCGATGATATTTTAGATGTGGTAAATCAACCTGATCAACCGTTTTCATATTGGGCACCTGAAATAGCTGAAAAAGATAATATATTCTATTTGTTTTATTCAGTTGGATTTGGAGATAAAAAACATCGTTTGCGTGTTGCATCATCAACTTTCCCACTTGGTCCATATAATGATAGTCAATCTATAGAATTAACTGATGTAACAAAACTTCCGTTTGCTATTGATCCTCATCCATTTCAAGATAAAAAAGATGGACAATGGTATTTATTCTATAGTCGAGATTTTCTTGATACTAATAATGGTTATCGTGTAGGAACAGGTATTGTTATTGATCGTCTTATAAATAATATGACTCGATTAGCTGGAAATGAAACAATTGTTTTACGTGCTAAACATGATTGGCAACTTTATGAACGTAATCGATCTATGTATAATCGTACATATGATTGGTATACATTAGAAGGTGCTGCTGCTTGGCAACAAGAATCAGGAGTCTATATATGTTTTTATAGTGGTGGCAATTGGCAAGAAAAATCGTATGGTGTTGATTATGGTATAGCTTATTCATCACCAATGGGACCTTATACTGAAGATTCAACTAATCAAGCTCGAATCACACATTCAATAGAAGGTACTATTATAGGACCGGGACATAATTCAATTATTCTTGGACGTGATAAGAAAACTACCTATCTTGTTTATCATGCATGGAATGAAGCAAAGACAATACGTTCACCATATATAAGTCAATTGAATTGGAAAACAATGGTACCAAATAATTCAAGTAGTGGACATGATCTCCTTCATTTGACACTTTTGTTTCTTCTCTATATTGTAGTTATTGTCTTGATTTTCCACCATGCTTTATAGTTGATAAAATTTTTTTTGTATGTGTTAAAGAAGGCGTATTTCCGATTCGATTGTATTTCATATAGTGCGGAAAATGAAAAAAAAAAAGAGATATGAAGACGAACTCATCAACAAGTCAATATCTCCTTGAGAATGAGCAAAAAAATAGAAAAAGAAAGAAAGAAAAATATCTGTTAAATTGTTAAGCGAAAGATATGTGTAGAAAAAAATAGAGACATGAAAGAAACTAAGTGGAATTGATCGGAGAAAGAATGATGAATTAATGAAATTGATGATGAACATGCATACCACTAACGTTAGTGGAAGTTTTTTCAATCAAGAGGTTGGCCCGTCATCGCTAATCGACTCATTCTTTTGTTTCAAACATGCTTGCCGACTAACGAAGGCTCACTTCATTCGTACGCTGAGATCGGACCCTAACTAGTACCATTCAATATAAACTGAATTCTCTCCTTCTTTCTCCCTCTCTCTCTCCATTTTCTTCCTCAATGCCACCAAAAAGAAAATGAGAGAAGGAAAATAGAGTGAGAAAAAGAAAGCTAAACAAGTGAGCTATTTCCTCTCTTTACAATTTATAACGCGTAAGCACAAAAGGAAAAGAGTAGCAGAGAACATGATGCCGACTCCGACGATGACGACGATGATGATGATGATGATGATGGCTAGAACGAAAAAAAGCTGGAGAGAATTGCAAAGAGATGTGCCATTACCATGATCGATTCTGTTTATCAGATCAGGACGATCCGGTCGGTTGTGTTATGTTGTTAATATAACAGAATTGATGATGATGGATCTTCATTCACATTGGATCAATCGGATAAAGGAAAAAAATAAAAAGATTCAGCATCATTGCCTTACAATAGATTAGAAAAAATATAGGTAAGTTTATATATGTATATATTAATTGCGCGTGTCAAGTAAATGTGAACATGTCATTGTCATACACGCTATACTCTAAAGATTAAATGACAGACACTGATTACGAAAAATTAAGATGAATGCAATACGAACATGCATTGATGCGAATGACAACATTCTATATTTATATAAGTTAAAGATTTCTCAAAAAATTCTGGCATCTATGTATGTTTATTTTCTTTTTGAATGTCAAAAAAAAACAGCAAATATAGATTGTTTTAACAACAACGGACACAAAAAAAATTAGAAAGAGAA